GGGGGGGGGGGGGGGGGGGTGTACAGAATTCGACCCTTTATGGGCGTCCTAGATCATGCCCTTCACTACCCCAAAAGATAATGAGATTTCATTCTGGGTCCACTTCCCACGATAGAGGTAACAACCTCTTTACTCGGCATGCTTTAGAGCTCCAGCAGGTTGGATCAGTTTATGTCAAGATATGGAGAGTGGTGCCATGAGAGTAGGAGCGGAAATTCTAATTCGGATTCCAAATTGTATTTCCACATTAACAACGTTCCTGTTCTCAAAAAATACCCGGAAGTTAAATTCATACCCTACTGTTCTAAAATAACTTAAAAATACCTAGGGCATTATCGAAAGGAAGGTAAGTGCCAATTTGCAATTCTCAGAGACGAGGTGTGAAGCAGGTCAAAATGATGAGACTATCTGCCTGGGAGGCTACTGTTACTACCTAGCAGAGATGGTGACTCCTCAACAGTCGAGGAGATTCTAGGATTCACCTTTTGATCCTTGCAACATTACCACCTTTGGTGAGGCAAAATGTTGTGGCTCTAAAAAGTTTCCGTATCGGTAGTTTCCGTAGTTCGGGAGAATGTTAGTGCAGATTTTTTTTTTTAAATTTCAGAGGATTCTCTCTGTGAAAATAATAATTTCCTCTGTGAATAGTTTGGCCCTAAGAAATTTGTAAACGAATCTGTACGATTGTCCTCTTGTAAACAAAAAAAAATAAAAATGTGTTCGATGAAAATCAATGGCTAATATGACTTCGTTCCTTTCTGCTTAACCAATCTATAATGTACCTTTCGTGTGTTAACAAAAAGAACTGCAGAATGATGTGATTGAGAGTTCTACCTGAGCCCAAGTACAGACTATCTTGACTTATAAGCTTAAAATACGAATTCATGAACCAGGAAAAATAAATACTTGTACACTCACTTACCTACGGATAGAGTTGGGAACATACTCAACATCAAGCTGTAATCTATCAGCCGACCGCTGATGTGGTGGATTGGGAACCCATTTTGAGTAGGAAAATTCAGGGGCCATCTTAGGGTTACGGCTGAGAACAACAACAATATCTCCAATTTTGCTGGCTGGATTGCACCAAATATGAGATGCAGCCCACTGCACATTCCTTACATTTATCTCGTGCCATTGCCAAACAGAATCTCTCATTTCAAGAAGCCAGACATCCGACAACACTTTGAAAGGTTTCTCCCGACAGCCGCCTACATAAAAAATTATTCAGCAGATTTACAAGCATGTTAACTGTAAGGCATTTCAAGGATGTTTCATTCCTATCAGCATATATCTATCTATTCTTTTTTAAATGAGGCCATTTGTGTAGCAATATTTGATTCTCGAGTTTTTAAGTTTTGAAAAAATTGCATATTCGGTTTTTAAAGATGTGCACTTTGACGTCCTTATGACGTAGTGGGTTACACAAAAACGCCAACCCCCCCCCCCCCCCCCCCCCCCCCCCCCCCCCCCCCCCCCCCCCCCCCCCCCCCCCCCCCCNTACAGTTTGTGCTAATTCGATCTCGGAAACTACTGGACCGATTTTGCTCGGATTTGTTTTAAATGAAAGCTCTTAGGCTGTAGACGTGCCAACATTCCTTAGTTTTTCGATTTGCTCGACCGACGTTACAAAATTTACCTCGATTTGATAACGACATGCTTGCGTTTTTGACGTTGGACAGTTTGTGCTAATTCGATCTCGGAAACTACTGGACCGATTTTGCTCGGATTTGTTTTGAATGAAAGCTTTTAGGCTGTAGACGTGCCAACATTCCTTAGTTTTTCAATTTGCGCGACCGACGTTGCAAAATTTACCTCGATTTGATAACGAAATATTTTCGTCTTTGCCGCTGGACGAGTCATAAGGTTGGGGGACCTCCCACCCTCTGATTTTCCGTTTCCCTCTCCACGTAAACCCATCCCTACCTGCCGTTAGTACGTGTCACCCTTCTGCTCTGGCATGGGTCCTTTGTCAGTATCACTCCCTTTCTTATGCCGTCTGACTCGGAACACCTACTACGCATTTCCTCCGTCGAATTGCTCATAATCAGTTTTCGGTTTGTCCAGGTTTCTCAGTAGTGCGTCTAGAGTTTTGCTTTCATGATTTTATCATTATAGTTTTTTTTTACATGAAAATTACTTAATTTTGATGTGTATTTTTCAGAAGATAATTTTCCTTTTTACGGCAGCACAGGTTTTATTAATAATTAACTTTTTTACAGCAGCTCATGTGTTCTTCCAAGAGAATCGGTGATTAATGTTCACCCTTTCGCACCGTTAAATTTTCACAAAAAGTTTTGATTTTCCTTTCAAGGAGTGTTTTTTATTTTTCAAAGATGTTTCTTTTTCTAGAGGTAGGTGGTTATCATTATCAGTTTCTTATTCTTTGTTTTTGAATTTATCATTTTTTTATCATTTAAAATTTTCCTGGGAGTCCTCTAATTACTCGTAGTAGCAAAATTTGGCTCGCTTCGCGAGCCAACATTCACTCGCGGAGCGAGTGACTGGGGGTCCAGGGGGCGAAGCCACCGGCTAGCGGCGCAAGCGAGCGTAGCGAGCTGAAGCAGCTATGTTGTTTACTATCACAAGGCTCACCTTTTTCCGGCAGTGACACGTTTAGAACAATTTCCGCTCGCGCTACGGTATTGCCAACTTGAATGCGCGAAATTTTCGTATCAAAACTACAACGGTGGCCACCACAACACTTAGGCTTGTGAGATTGCCCGAAAACTGATTGATAAACAAAGAGAGCACGTCGTAGAGAGGAACGAAAAGATAGCATCAATTATCAGAAGAAAACACTGTACTCCATGCCCAGTGCATCGGTGTCAATTCCGAAATTAATGGAGTTTGAGCATCGTTTGATCTGTATGGCTTCATGATACCTACAACCTTGTCCTGAAGTTATGTTCCTTAACGAGTACTTCGGGATTTTTGAAATAAAATTCGTGACGTTGGTCCTGGCCAAGTTAGTTCGTTGCCTACACAAAACAAAACCTGCATTTTTTTATTGGAATATGCTGCTTTCAGGGCTCATTGGTGGTGCCTTCAGGAGTAATTCTGGAAGGGGCAACACTCTGAGACCCGCAACCGGAGCGAGATGGCGGCCGTTAAAGTCCGCCATTTTGGTTTTTTCAAATCGCTGTATCTCGGTTGCTATCGATCCTATTTCAGTCAACTTTTTTTTTCAATGATAGGTATTGTCTAGGAGAATAAGTTTCCTCCTTACGAATTTTCCTGTTGGACGTATATATATTTTTAAAATTGGAAAAAACTAAAATTTCTCAAATTATTGGAAATTTTAAGGTCAAATAACCTTTTGACAAGCAAGGTAATGGATATTTTGCCCGCTCCAACGGAGCCGTAACATTGTTTGCCCTTTAATTTGATACCAAAACAATTTTCGTGCGATAATAAATAAGCTCGTGAGAACAATTTAAGTGTTTTCAAATTGTCAACAAAAATTTGTAAAACATAAAATAGAGGCGGAGATTTTGAAACACCGAAACCTAGGTATACATTTTTGCAGTTTCACCGCAGATATCGTTCTGGTTGTGCTTCTGGGTCATTCCACGCCTAGGTAGTCCAGGGGGTATTTTTTCCCCCTACAAATGACCCAACAATATTGATTTTTGGACTCCTTAATACTTCTAGTTTTCGGAAATACATGGGGTTTACCTCCATTTTGTTTCTATTCTCGCAATTTTTAAGTCTTTTGTAACCCTGTCCCTTAGCCTCATCTTACTGTAAAAACAGTGACAGTTTGGCAGCACTGTTTTCTGATGTTATCACCAAAACCAAGTTCGGGTTTATGTTTACATTTGTCAAGAAACAGATAACATGTGCTCCTGCAAAGTTTCAACTTTTAAAAGTAATTCCTATTTATTTTATGTAACTTTTAAGACTTAGTATACTGACGGACACACCCGTAAAACAAAACATGGGTTTTTCAATGAAACTATTTTAATTCCTGTCATTTTGAGATGACAATTTTTTCCCTACATGTTTAGGTCGAGTACAACCTCAGAAAATGTTTTCCAAATTTTTATCGCAACGATTAATGGGTAAAATGTGTTACAGGTGAGACACTGTGACACGTTACGGGTGTAACCAACGAGAAGAGGCTTTAAATATGCAGATGTCGCCTCCTTTCTCACCATTTCTATGCTTATCACAAGACATGCACTCGCATGCATAGTTGGATTGTATTTTGCAAAAAGGAACCAAGAGCATTCCAATGTTGCTAGGATTGTGCAACTTACATTCTTGGCAATACCATTACTGGAATCATGCAAAAAATTAAATTCACAAAGGTAATTTTTTCATGAATTTATAGTTTTTTGACAGTAAACATAAAACTTGTTTGAATGATCAGTTTATATTTGCAAGGTAAACAAAGATGCACAATCTTAGCGACATTGGAATGCTCTTGGTTCCTTTTTGCAAAACGCAGTCCAGTTAGAGGTTATGTTTACATCTAATGAGAAAGAGATGGCCAACATTACAACACTACAAATAGGACTCGTTAAACTTTCTCTAATTTGATTGAAATATTTTCACATTAGTATAGTTAGGATCTTGAGCTACATCTCCTCACAAGAAACTTTTCCAGGCCTTAGGACTCCATTCGACTTTTTAATCATTACTATCGATTTTCTTGCAAAACGAATATATCGGTTACATATCATTTTTCTCGAATCCTTCACCCATGCAACAACCTCATTGTAAGAATTGGGAAAGGTGGGTTTTAGGGTTAAGGGGGCAAGGACTCCATTCTTCAACAGTGCGCACCATTTACTTTGTAAAAAATCTTTGAAATAACCTTAAAGCCTATAGAAATGAGCCAAAAATTAACAGAATGGCATCATTTGGATGCAAATAAGAAAAAATGAAACACTGACCTATTATCATTAAATTGTTCTCATCAATGTAGATCTGGGACTGACCATATCTTCGAACTGGCTTTTCATCAGATGTAGATTGCTTCATCCATGCAAAACTCTCAAGATCCAAGCACCAGACATCATTTGAGCTGAAAGAAGTATGTTTGGGGAATGAATTTTTAATTCAGCAGCAAAAAGAAGACATAGATATTTACTTTACAGCCTTTGTTAGTTATTAGGTAACTGAACCCAACGCAAAGACACCCCCCCCCCTCTGTTTGAAGTAACTAACCTAACCGTTCGTTTCCCCAGAATACTATCAATCATTAGGGGCCGTCCTTAAATTACCTAACGCTCTATGGGGAGAGAGAGGGTACAGGAGAGCATTTTGCCATTTTGTTTTTACGTGTCAAAGGATAGGAGCATACGTAACAAAAGAGTTACAAGGGGGGAGGGGGGTCAAAAATGCTAGAAAGTGTGTGATGTAACGTAGAGACGGCCTCTTGGATGTGGAAGAGGATAGCCAATTTAAAGCACTAGTTGTAATTCGGATCAATATTTGCAATCTTCAAGTTTCCTTTGCTAAAAAAAAATAAAAAAAATTGTAATTTCAAAAACAAACAAAAAACCCTCTGAAATTGACTCAAAAATGAAGTCCTAAGAGTTTTGCTTCTGAAACGGGGGATTCTGTTATTAAGGGGGACGGTTGATCATATTCAAGTCTGTTTCGCGTGTGTAGGTGTCCCTGACATCATATTCGGAGCTCATGATCCGTCTCCTTTGGGCCCGGGTCGAAATCTGCGAAAAACGCGAATTTTTAGCTATTTTGGGCTCCGAAGCCATGCTTAGGTCCCTGTTTCGCATCCCAAAAATGTGAGTACCGGCAAAACTCGATTATTTCTGTTTCATGTGCAACGTCAACCGTCAAATATCCAACAATTTCTCGCCAAGGTGCGCCCGTCGTGGGGCTGACTTTGACCCTAATTGCAATCCCCTCCTTTGCCCCAAACTTCCCCACAACTCCATAAAAGGGGTGTTCAGGGAAAACACACATGGAACATAAAGTCCTCATTTTTTGCCGTAAAATTCAAATCAGAGGTTAAAACAGACTTTCCTCATTGGAAAAATGCGGGAAACGGGGAGCTCCCCCTTGAACTCCCCTTAAATGGGATTTTGGACGACTGAAAATATATTCGTTGAATACAAAAGGGTTCATTTACCCCTCGAAAATTTTCGTCCCCAGGCTCAATTTTGGACCGTTTCCCAGAGACAGATAGTAGATGGATGCTCTCCAATACCTGGTATATCGCAGGTATTATTTTCCTTAAAAAACATTCACATCATTTAATCTTCAATGCCATGAATTGCGTTGATCCATTAATAATTTGTAAAGATGAAGAAAAATGATTCAGCAAATTTTGAAATTCAGAAAATTAGAAAAAATGTAAACTTGTTTTTATCATGCAATGAGTATGTAAATACCTTCCATTCCGTTCATGAAGTCCACCAAAAACAACCATCGTTTTGTCATGGACTGTTGCAGAGTGTCCAGCCATTGCTGGAGGAGAAGCAAGCGAACTAATTGCTCTCCATCTGTTGTCCAGAGTTTCATAAATGTGAAGCTCATTATATGTTTTCCATGCCTACATTAAAAGTTAGGCATTAGAAAATTAGGTCGATTTTTTTTGTAGAACAATGGCTAAAATTATTTCACTTGTAAAATTTTTTCAGGAAGAGGAAGAAAAAGTTGTTCAAAGCAATGAAGGATTTGCAAGTATTTTTCATCATTTCATGAAAGTAGGAGATGCATTGACCTCCCAGGAATTTCTTCGGATTTTTAACATCAACAAACATACACAACAAATTCTAAGTTTGATATCTAAAAATTTAAATTGCCATAGGCACCATACTAACCAGTGTTCAGTGGGAGGGGGGAGGGGGGGAGGGTGAGCGATGTAGGTGTGGAAACAATTATAAAAACGTAAAAGAGAATTGTTTGAGTAAATGGACTAGGCTCACATTAAATGGCATAGAATTTGAAAATTGTATTGGCAATTTGGCGCCTCTCACCGTTTTAATAGAGAAGTCATTTTTACAGCAGGAGAGGAATACTCCTTAAGGACCTTTTCTGGTTTCACCCTGTATCCTGGCAACACCATGATTTATACAGTGCTTCAGCTACAGAGTGTCTATAGACTTGTGGGCCAAGGTATCAATTGACAATTCCCGATTTTCCAGCTCTGTAGATACTCTGAGCGATTTTCCGGGACGACGGACAAATCATGGGTCTACTGGAAGATTCAGGCAGAAATTGCAGGTTAACGTTCCAGCCCATCACACACCAAAGTTTTCAAGGAACCAATTAATCCTTTAATTATGTCCATTGGGGATGTTGGAGAGACACTTGGACTAATTAAAGTTTAAATGAAACTTAGCGCTCACAATTAAATTTTTCTTTAAAATAAATGACTTCATATCCATGATTAAAAACGGTCTAAACAGAATGACTCGAATACACATGAACTGAATTTTTCAGCTGGATCTATACTCGAGTTATCAAAACGTTCTTCAAAATACTTGACAAGATTAGAGGCCTCCCCTCCCCTGCCATACGAGAGTCCCTCTCCCATAAAAGAGCAGTGTTACCATAATTTATTGCCTTTGTTCGGAGAAAACCAAGTTTTTCAGTACTCGAAGGCTATTCCCCATGACTCGTTAAGAAGTCTGAAAATGTTTCTTTTTTTTTCATTTCTTGATCTATTGCCGATAATTTTACTAATCATTATTTTAATAAAACTTCCAATGTGGCATTGTCATGGGGAAAAATAAAAAGGGGTCCAAATGGGCCTGTTGCAAATTTTTACTAGAGCAAAAATAAGATTTGTTTCTATCAGTAAATGTCTCAAAAATTACGATGAGCGCATTGGCAAACTTCACCATCTGTGTAAGAAATTTGTGGTTTTTGAGCTTCCTGCTTCATAAACGATACTATGGCACAGGTGAACATTTCGATAGAGGTGTCGTTCTATCCAACCAATGTGCACTAGGATACTACACAATATTCAACATGACCGACACCAATCCGCCAAAACACATGTGCCTGGACAAGATTCTAACCATTCGTTAACAGAGCAGCATCTTTATATTTACGATTTCTTCCCGTTGATAAAGATCGGCTTTGGTTGACCTTGTGATCCCGATTGCGATTTGCGCGCGAAAACGTCGGCTATTTTGGTATTGCTATTGCGAAAGGGTTGTATAGAACAACTCCTCTGACAAAATGTCCACCTGTGCCGTAGAATCGTTTTAGAAGCGGGCAGCTAAAAAAAACTTTAAATTTCTTATGCAGATTGTGAAGTTAGGAGTGCATTTGAAACTTTGCCAATGCTCTCATCGTGATTTTTCAGACATTTACTGATAGAGACAACTCTTCTTTTAACAAAATTTTGCAATAGGCCCAATGTCCTAGAATTGCATTATTTTTTGGACCGAATATTGCAAGTAACAGGAGGTAGAATAAGCACTGGGCCCACACCAGTCTGTGAAGTAATCAAGGCCAAAAAATTCCCAAAATTATCATTATATTCAAGAATTTGAACTCTAATAAGTAAGTAAGTAAGTAAGTAAGTAAGTAAGTAAGTAAGTAAGGCCGGACTGGCCGGCGAGGCGCCCTCAAGGGGCCAAGGCAACTGGCAACTGCCGTCGTGCACCCCGAAGTTGGACCGTGCTCCTTACTTTATCTTCTTACCATTGACACATTGTGTATCCTCTATATTCACGCAAGGCTCAGCGGCCGTCTGATAGCCAACGGAAGGTCTTATCAAAGACTGTGGCAGACGCTGCAGAGCACGGACTTTCGGAGCACGGCCATGCCTCCACCGAGTTGGACTGTGTTGTTGCAATCTCTACTGATAGGTAGCGCTGGCAGTCGCTCACACCACGAGTGATTACCGATTTTTTCACAACTCAGTCAAACAGTGCAGACGGATTACTTACTGGGTGACTATGTCCCTCCCGCACCCTCTTACCTCGAAGGGTCAGGGTATTGGAGTGGCATAGTCATCCACAGTCACGATGACTGATATTGGAGTGTCCTCAAATATTAGTCACCTCCGGGGATTGAACCTGGGACCTCAATGTTGGCAGCAAACTGCCTTGACCACTACACCACTGAGGCTGACTCAACTCTAATAAGTATCAAAGCACGACGGAGGGGTAAGAGCATTAAGCTCAGGCACTCAATTTGGAATATTATGCTGAGATTACGCCAAGAGATCTATATCGATTTGTGTCTTTTCAGACCTCATCAGTAGATCACACTCGTCAGCGAGCCCAAGCGCCTCCGCATCCCGAAAAAGCCAAAACGACATTAAAATGCGGTCATGAACATGACGCCAGGCATGACACTAGAAAGCAATCCTCGCGCCATCTTCCGTCGCTGCTAAACAATTCTGGAGATGAAACAAGGGAAACCTCAAAAAATGGTAAACAATCGATTGGCGATCCGAACACATCTAGACGCAACCGCCTACACCTAGATTTCCCTGCAGAATAGTGTGGACTCAGCACTATTCTACCATTCTGTTACTTAGAGACTATTTTGATAACATTTTTACTTTTTTTTTTATTTTTCTAATGTAAATAAATAAAAGAACGGAGGTTGTTCAGGAAGTAAGTTAACCTATTCAAAATGTCCTGAACTAAGATAGATGCAAGAATTTTTTAAAAAAACGTTGAAAAGCCACTACTCTCAGCTTCCAAACTTACAGATCCAGAAGTATGGCAAAAAGTGACTTAGAGGTGAATAAAAAAATGTAGAACATGAGTGAAGACATTCCTCAACTTGAAAAATAAAGGATTCATCTTGTTTACATAGATTATTGGTGGGTTTGGACTGCAGTGCATGGAAATTTTAAATTTTTAATTTGGTACAATTGTAGAGTTAAAACGTTGAATTTGGTTTCGGTGTGTGAATTGTGCTCTATTATTCGTTCACTCGCCAAAAAAAGTGACCCCAGCTGCTTAATGCCAGGTACATTTACAGTAATGGAAGTTGTAAAAGCGATTAGATAACAGATACCTAGAAAACAGATACCTGTAAGAGCTGCATAATATTCCAAATAATGCATCTTCGACAAAATTTCTTTGAGACTGGGCGGGATAGTTTGAAAGCTTGTGAAAAATTCAGTCAGCAAGTGAGACATAACTTTGACAATTCAGTAAACTTTTGCTCGGATAAAACTGATCTTGAAGTGAACACGGTTGATCCTATTAAGTATTATTTCCTAGTTGAGAAATGTCTTTACTCATGTTTTACATTGTTTCCAACCAACTCTAAGTCACTTTTTTGCCATAAGCAGACATAGCAGCTCACTTGTGGATGACGCTCCTTGAAACGTCCGACCCGTGCAGAGAAGAAGTGGGTTCAGAAAAACCCAACATTGTAGAGTTTTATAAAACCAAAATTAAAACTCAGTAACGTGTTAGAAAGCTGAGAGTAGTGGCTCCTTAAAATTTTTTACAGATTTTCTCTATCTATCTTAGTTCAGGACATATTGAATAGGTCAACTTTCTGGACAACCCTCGTAGAACAAATTTACTGCTGTTGATCAAACTTTCCTTATACATCATACCAGAAGACTGACCTGATGTAAGGGGTACGGTAATGGATGAGTCCAACCTCCAAATAAAATCATTGACTCTTTATAATGCACTAAAGTTGCATAAGCTTTTGGTGAGGGGTATGTTCCCAGGGTTAGCAGCCGATCCCATTGTCGGGTAGACAGGTTCAAACGCCAAAGATCATTGAATGTTGTAAAAGTACAGGTGCAGCCACCAAATACATAAAGAGCATTATCTGATAGAGAAGAATGCAAATATTTTTGAGGTTAGGGTAATTTACACACGACATGCAAATTTTTAATTTTATGAAAAATTATCAGGAGAATATTTCTCATTATAATGAGAGACTCAGATCCAACAGGTTTGGTTGAAGTTATCGGATTCATTAATCGTCTCTTGCAAGGTATCATAGGTCGCTCATCTCAGTATAGTTTTGTTCTCATGTAATTGACAATAGGTTGTTAAACGCAAGAGGTACAGCCAACTGTATAAACGATCAAAGGGTATTTACTCGAAAATCACGTTGGGCACATAAAAAAAGTCTGAAATCCACTCCTTGGCGGGCAATCTGCTTAGTGTATAATACGTTTTTTCAAATCTACCACGTATGCGAAGAGTTTTCTTGGTGGCTAGTGGCCAGGTTTGCCTGCAGAGAGACCTAACCTAAATAAACAAACAATCTTGCGAATTGTAGTAAACTCTCCTTGCGTAAGATTTCAGTTGACTCAAAGACTTGTTTTTGAAAAATAAAGAAAGAGAAAGGAGACAAATGTTTGATACAATGGAAAAAGTTAGTGAAATCGTTTGTTCACTTAAGTTATTTTTTCTTACCCCTCTGCCTGTGCAAACCTGGTTAACAATGACTGAGAAAAACCGCCAGATGCGGGAAATAAACTGCACAGATTGCGTGCTATGAAATGGATCTCAGACTTTTTGGACATAATATTTCTTGTGTGCAACAGACTCATTAATGTACCGTCACTGAAAATACTCTGGGTAAAATATTTTGGTGTAAGCCGATGGTGATAGGTAGATTACATAAAATTGTGTTTGAAGGCCAGTTTGCAGATTTTTGGAGTTACATATTCATGCCTCAGGGGCATTCTAAATCTGCAGATGACTGGGGAACATCAAAATTGAAAAGTCAGTGAATTGAGGGAGAAAAGGGATATTTATAAAATGTTTGGGGAAAAATTGAGCTCATTACTACACCTTGTGATGTACGGAATTTCGTACATTTAGAAAATCAAGTTTTTTCGAAGACAATTCAAATTTCCAGAAAATCTCTACCATGATAGAGGAAAATCGAGGGTCCTCTTCGGATTCAACATAAAAATACATAGGAAGTGTTGTACTTTATGTTTGATAAATAATTTTATCCTCTGTTTCGAAAATGGAGATTCCACCCCCCCCCCTCCGATTAATGGAGATGGCCCCCTTCTGCCCATGTCAACTTATCGACAGCATAAGTACGCAATCACATATCCCGTTTGTGGTGTCTTAAAATCTCCGCCTCTCAGTTACCTATATTTTTAAAGGGGAACAAACTGACATCATTCCTTGCAGTTTTTGCAGAATTTTCTTTGCACAGAGAAGAAAAGTCACGGCAGTTTTAAAGAATTGCCGTTGAGTAGTTTTCCGTTTAAAAAGAAAAGTATGACAGGAAGTCTGCGACTTTGCAAACCGAGTTATGTGATTGCCGACTTAAACCATTGATATATTGCGTACGTTGCCAGCGAGCGACTAAAAAGCTCATGAAGCTTATCAGATAGTTTTCCGTCAGGAATTAGGGAAAATATAATTTTCTCAGGTATCTGATGGGAGTTGGCCTGCCCAATAACTCGTGCCAAAGCGAAAAAGACCTGTTTTTTTCAGCGCTCACTAAATTTTTGGAAAACCTAATTTCAAAACTAAAAATGCATTTTTTCGGCTTGGAAAAACCATACTATTGGAGAACTTGATTTTCTGAAGATGTTGGAAAAAAAGAGAGGTCATTTTCAGCTCCAGAGGTCCTGAATAAACACCGACCCCCTCATCACCAGTGTAAGCTAGATTGACAGAGATGGAGGGTGAGATTTCACGTTCTGAAATTTCATGAAATTTGGAATATTTTGAATTAATTTTTTTTTTTTTTTTTTTTTTTTTTTTTTTTTTTTTTGCAATTGTTAATATTGAACTCTTAGAAGTCTGGAGGCATTTCAGATGATCTTCCTGCTGACACAGGGCTCACTAGTTCTTCTATATACAGAAGGGGGGCACAAGAGGAAGGTTAGAGAGAAGTTTAGCCCCAATCTAACCTCCAGACCGAATGTAAACCTCTCCTCCCTGCACTGAATGAGCTTGGGCAACCATGTGATTGATCCCTTTCTGGATAATACTTTTTACTTATTACTGAAGTACTTCCATTGCTGGAACTCAGAGAAGCTCAGCTGATAGAGGAATAGGATGTGAGGGGCAAGGAAGGGATGAAAAATTTCAAAATCGAGAATCACTGTTTTAAGGCGTTCTTGGCTTTCTGAGTGTATCCCCTAAATTATCGACAGATTTCACACCAAGAAAATTTACAAAATTTGTCATCACTGCACATTGATTGTGTCTTAAGTCATAAGTTTATTTTTGGACATATATGTTCAGATAATAATTTTCTGAAAATAAAAAAAATTTAAAAAAAATAAAGGGATCATCATACCGTGATAGCAAGCAGAGTGAGAATAGCGCTTAGTAATGGTGACCTGTTTACTACTTGAGGGAAGACTAGTCCACCTGACGTCAAAGTTGTTTATAGCTCGATAGAATTTGTTTCGAGTGTGCCGAATCACATCTGGAGAAGAAAAAAGGATTTCAAAATGTATCGAGGAAAAGCATGAATATTTAAAAGAAAAAGGCTGATGTGAAAATGTCCAAATCCCCAATAGCTCTCATTGCTTCCAATTTCTAGTTGATGTTGATGCAACATTCAAAGCCTCACTTCAGAAAATTTAAAGTCTGAAACAGATTTATACACCTTACTAGAAATTGGAAGCAATCAGAGGTACGAGAGATTTAGCCGAGATGGTATAAGCCTCTTTATTCAAACGACATCGAGAGTAGGACAAGATTATGACATAACATACTTAGATGGGATTTTAATTATTTACAAAGAATGCTTATCATTTTTCTAAAGTTACCGCAAAGCTTAAGAGCCATGTGTCCAGCAAGCTTCATTTTAGGGAGCCACCTACACAGGGATGTGGGAGGATTTTAAAATTCCCAATTTGAAAACCTACTATTTTCGTGAATGGCAATAACTTCTTTTAGGTGGAGGAAGGGGTCTTCATTTCACCATGTCCATGATTCTGTGAGAAAAGTAGGACTAACAATACCACCTTCCTGTACTTGGCCATGCTGTAAAGTTCGTGAGAATGTGTAAGTAGGTTCCTCCCAGGCAAATGACTAAGCCAGAAGCAGCAAGCATAAATATTAATTATTTAAGTTCTAGCTGTTCAGTTTCACCCCAATAACTCTAAAACTTCAATATCCACATAATTTAATCATGACACTTTCAGCGTCTGATAGAAATAACATGGCATTCCTGTTCCTTACAGAAAATGACCTCTGCTCTGTATCAAATGCGACAATTTTTCCCACGAAAAATCTAGCCTTCATTTCTATGAATTTTGCAATTTCTTTGATCCAGAATGATTCTTTGAGCTACTGTGCAGGAGCCGTTGTTATTCTCTTGGCTGAAGAGACAAAATCTGCTGAGACTATCCGGAACAAAACTATGTATCACACGCCGGACTGAACGCTGCAAGTACCCGTGAAAAATCACCGCAAGACTTATGAATTCAACAAGACATTACTTCTTTCCTGTCACAAACTCAAACCTGACCAATTTATTTTGCACATTTATTGTGTTTATAATAAATACTTTATAAGTTTATGATTTGTGAGTGTGATGTGAGTCTTACGGAGGAATAAAACTTCCAACCTCCTTCACTCAGTTCAAACTTGTCGCATTTCTGCTCAACTAATTCCAAATGTTCGCAGCCCAAGAAATGCGAGGGCTTTCTTAGAAAATGTAAGAGCAGTTCAGAATCTATGATCACATGGAGAACTCGGCACTTGTGATCATAGAAACCATTAGCGACTGTCATTCCGTGCATTCAACAAAACTTTAAAGCTTGCATCAAGGTGAGGTTGGGTAACTGGGCGGTGGGGTAACTGGGCAGTACCCTCTGTATTTCTACCAGATTAGTCCAAAAATTGTTTTCACTGTTGGCATACCTTCATTATGACGTAAACCATCTAGAACATGTAAACATAACTTCAAAAAAAAATTTTATGGTGAATGGTGAAGTGCCAAAAATTGTACAGCTTTTTTTTCAAAACAACGCCAGAGGTGGTCCCGAAAAGAGCCTCATATCTCACTCCCAGCAAGTATTTTATTCAACTTTGACAATTCTTCTTTATGTATGATGTATCTGTGTAATGCGTGAGTAATTACAACGTAATTGGATGAAAATACTGGCTGCAAAGGGTTGATGCCCAGTTACCTTGAAAATTTTCCCTTTGTGGGGTAACTGGGCACCCACCCCAAGGTAACTGGGCAGGTGGCAGTGGTGGCACCTGCCCAGTTACCCATTGCCAGGTTGCTGTGCTTCGGTGTTTGTTTACTTCTGAAAATTTCAAAACTAATTGACTATTGTGGACTTTTAAGTGCCAAAGACCAATAATCAGGGTTCCCAGCACACTAAACTTCTAACTTAAGTCAATTATAGCATAACTTAAGCATTACTTAATTACATTTTTGCCGCTAACTGTTACGACATCACTTTTAACGACTTAAACATGGTTATATAAATTCAAATGAAATTCTCTGAAACCCTCATGAGAAGGACATTCTTTTCTGGCCAATGAGAATTACAAATAATGCCCCCCTTAAAAATTAAGGGAACTTTTTGGCGCCTGACTCTATCCCAGATCAGCCTTGCGGCTTAATTTTTTTTCATTTTTTAAAAATGTATCATGCTTAATCTCACTAAAAGTGGCCAAACAGTGTCCTGGTATACAGTACTACTTTATAAGTAATAATACAGAAAGTTCTAAGCATTTATCTACAAGGAAACAATTTTTTTTTACCGTTATTCAATTCTCAGATTTGAGGGTTTTTTTGCCGCTAACTGTTACGACATCATTCTTAACCACTTAAACATGTTTATATACATTCAAATGACATTTTCTTAAACCTTCATGAGCAGGACATCACCTTCTGGCCAATGAGAATTAAAAATAATGCCCCCCTCAAAAATTAAGGGGGGGTAGTCCAGTTACCCCACGACGTTGGGTAACTGGGTGAAAAAAACGGGAAATTTTTGAAAATTTGTGGGAAAAAATTGAAAGATGAAATTCGACTTTTGACTCTTCCTACATTTAGACAAGGTGTTGTACTTACTAAAAAAAATTTAAAAGTAGCCTCCACTGTCAATATAATGATGGGAAAAAAATCATGAAGTTGAAATTTTGACATTTTTCTCCGAACTGCTGCCCAGTTACCCAACCTCACCTCATTCTACTTTCAATATTGACGGACACAAAATTACTTACTCTGCACATTTTTCTGCCACCTTTTACAAACAACCATACATTGATCTAGATCTTCATACGGAGGTAAAAAACTAAGAATATATTCCAATATTTCATCTGGCAAATCATTGATAGAGGAAGTGTGCATGATTTCAAAAAGTTATTAACAGTCAATTCATGTTTTTATTATGATCACTTGAAGGTTATGTTATATAGTAAAATAAGTAGGAATTGCATAGACATAGGCTTAGAGAAAGAGAAAATCACTACTGAGTACTCTAGAGTACTCTATGGAGAAAATAGACGAATTTAGTGGTGACGTCACGGAGCGATATTGTTGGTTCGATATCTCGAGAGTCGAAATGTGCCCCAACAAACAAACATAACTTCCAAAATGAACAATTGACGAAATAATGCTAAAACTGCCTGAAACTAAAAAATTGCTCCATGGGACTTTAAAATTATGAAAGCTAGCCATTTACAAAAACGTTCGAGATCACAATCACAAGAATTGATTTATCCAATCTAGCCAATGCTTCAGAAGCGTGAGTAATTTTGCTACAGGTTAGGCAACTTTAGAAAATTGATGGCACTACCAGTAGTGAAAGAACTTGACCGGATCGAGAGAAATTTCCTATTGAATCTGATTATAAAGCTTGAAAAAAGTATAAATAGTAATGTGTAATAATGGTTTTTGATCAAATAAGATTTTATCAAGTACTGTTATGCTAAGTATTCTGTTTCAATATTCTTACAACAGTTGGTAGCAATTAACTGCTCTCATGGGGGCCTGGCGGGAATTCAAAACTAGGAACCAAAAGTCTCATTTTGGCAGGATTTTGCTTTAATTTTCGGTTTCTAAGGCTTTAAACTTCAAAAATATGATATATTATAATCTGCAAATTTCTTCAATAATGTCATCTACTCAGTATACTAATGAACTCTGATTTGTTTATTTCCACCGATAAAGCACAAAAACATAGCCCGATTATACGAATAAAGAAGGAGAATTAATTAAAATACGGGTAGGTAAACAAGGCTAAAAATTATTAAAACACTTAAAGGCAGGACGTTTCGAGCTGCTACCAGCTCATTTTCAGCTGCAAAAACACATAAAAACAAGAAAAAAATTGAGTGGCGACCTGACCCCAGCCGTTATTATTAGAGTCCCTTTATACCCAGAGTTAAGACAACTCACTTTTGGTTGGCCTGAAAGTGGCCTAAAAAAAAATCCAATTCTGATTGGTTCTCGCTCATGGAGGCCGAAACGAGTGCACCAAGATGGCGGTACCTCGAATGTGAACAAGAATAATGAAAAAATTACCTAATTGTGGTTTATCAAGAGTAAATTGTTATTTCCATCGGTCCAAAATGAAAATAGATTAAGAAATTATTCACAAACCAATCTCATTTTCTTTTTAATTGATCAATTTGTTGATGTTGTTGTTTTTGTGTGACAGACATCGCAGGATTCCTGATCCTTATCCCTCAATATCGTTCGTTTGGCTGCACTCGTTTCGGCCTCCATGGCCAGCCAAGGCCGGCTGCGAGTCAGCTGATAATCGAGTTGTCTTAACTCTGGGTATAAAGGGACTCTAGTTATTATTAGAGTCCCTTTATACCCAGAGTTAAGACAACTCACTTTTGGTTGGGCTGAAAGTGGCCTAAAAAAAAATCCAATTCTGATTGGTTCTCGCTCATGGAGGCCGAAACGAGTGCACCAAGATGGCGGTACCTCGAATGTGAACAAGAATAATAAAAATATTACCTAATTTTGGTTTATCAAGAGTAAATTGTTATTTCCATCGGTCCAAAATGAAAATAGATTAAGAAATTATTCACAAACCAATCTCATTTTCTTTTTAATTAATCAATTTGTTGATGTTGTTGTTTTTGTTTGACAGACATCGCAGGATTCCTGATCCTTATCCCTCAATATCGTTCGTTTGGGTGCACTCGTTTCGGCCTCCATGGCCAGCCAAGGCCGGCTGCCAGTCAGCTGATAATCGAGTTGTCTTAACTCTGGGTATAAAGGGACTCTAGTTATTATAAGTGGTTACGTGATAACGGCTGAGGTCAGGTCGCCACTCAATTTTTTACTTGTTTTTATGTGTTTTTGCAGCTGAAAATGAGCTGGAAGCAGCTCGAAACGTCTTACTTTTCAGTGTTTCAATAATTTTTAGCCTTGTTTACTCGTATTTTAATTAATTCTCCTTCTTTATTTATTTCCCCCTTAATTATTTAATCTGGAAATATTGAACCACATAAATTCTACTGAGAAACTAATTCTTGAATTCTTCGGAACGTTTCGTCCCACAAAAATCTGAAAAAGAAGTATTCTCCCGCCGAAAATCTGCTGAAAATAGCCAAAATTTCAGTTTTGGTTCCTAGTTTTAAATGCCCATGGATTTTCCCGCCAATGGCGCTCACAAAGCTTCTCACGCTCTTCCGCCGATGTTAGCGATCTGGACTAATCTGTGCCTAAATCCCGCAGATTCCTATATGTTCGTTTGTTGCGGCACGTTTCGACTTTCGAGATATCGAGATTAAATCGAGATGTGACGTCGCACTAAATTCGTCTATACACGACGGAGGGCTGAAAGCAAAAAATGAAGCTTCTTTTCAACCACCTCTACTATTGGCTAGAAGATTGGCGGCAAAATCGGGAAAAGTTTGAAATTCAAATGTAGGGCTGGAACTAAATAAAATTGCAGAAACAAAGTATTCTAGGTTGATTTTTGCCCAAATTCACTTACCCACTCATATTTCTTTAACTTTAGGTTAGCTTTGGTCCGTCGTCGACCGATTAATTTCATTTGGGAGTAACGGTCATCTAGAACTGTAACGGCCTGTTTGAACCTGCAGAACCACCATGAGCAGAAGAAAAACTAACTTTATCTGAGATTACTGCCTGTTACTGAGCAAAAGTAGGTGTATTATATTAGGACGCAGACCGAACTTTCTTAATATAATCGTTTTAGGCATTTAAAACACGTTTAGAGGAAGAAATAAGGAAAAATCAAGAGGACAAGTTCAAATCAAATTTCCGTTTGCCGCCATGGATTCCCGCGCTCATTTACACACTCACACAAGCACCCAGCGCCAAACCAGGCTTCACTTTTTTCCCGTGCTTTTAAGATACGAGCACTCCGTCTTTATGTCTTTGGGCCATACTCTATCAATATAAGGTGAGGTTGGGTAACTGGGCGGTGGGGTAACTGAGCAGTACTCTCTGTATTTCTACCAGATTAGTGCAAAAATTGTTTTCACTGTTAGCATACCTTCATTATGACGTAAACCATCTAGAACATAGAGTCCCTTTATACCCAGAGTTAAGACAACTCACTTTTGGTTCGGCTGAAAGTGGCCTAAAAAAAAATCCAATTCTGATTGGTTCTAGCTCATGGAAGCCGAAACGAGTGCACCAAGATGGCGGTACCTCGAATGTGAACAAGAATAATGAAAATATCACCTAATTGTGGTTTATCAAGAGTAAATTGTCATTTCCATCGGTCCAAAATGAAAAGAGATTAAGAAATTATTCACAAACCAATCTCATTTTCTTTTTAATTGATCAATTTGTTGATGTTGTTGTTTTTGTGTGACAGACATCGCAGGATTCCTGATCCTTATCCCTCATTATCGTTTGTTTGGGCGCACTCGTTTCGGCCTCCATGGCCAGCCAAGGCCGGCTGCCAGTCAGCTGATAATCGAGTTGTCTTAACTCTGGGTATAAAGGGACTCTACTAGAACATGTAAACATAACTTCAAAAAAAAATTTTATGGTGAATGGTGAAGTGCCGAAAATTGTACAGCAAACAACGCCAGAGGTGGTCCCGAAAAGAGCCTCATATCTCACTCCCAGCAAGTATTTTATTCAACTTTGACAATTCTTCTTCATGTATGATGTATTTGTTTGTGTAATGCGTGAGTAATTACAACGTAATTGGATGAAAATACTGGCTGCAAAGGGTTGATGCCCAGTTACCTTGAAAATTGTTCTCCCAGTGATCAACTGGAGAGAACTTTCCTTTCACCCTGGGCCGTTTAATCAATGTAAAATCTCGAAAAATCTCGATCGCTAGTGAGATTTTCCTCTGTTCTCTTGTAAAAAATCGCTTGAAAGAGCGATTTTTTGTATGTGTGAGTGCGCTCCCATAAGATCTGATGTAACCGCTTATCGTATTAGTGCGTATTTTACAGGGGTTTTTCGAGACTACCGATAGTCGCTGTTCGATACGTCGATACGTCGATTCAATTCTAGACCTACCAACCCTTTCCTACAAAATACCCTGTTCCTTCTGAGTTTCCTTAACTTTGCCTTCTTTAACTCCGTTTCTAAAT